GAGGAATTTGGAAACTTTCCCAAAAGCATCAAAACGATTGAATGTCTGGAGTTAGCGACGGCGACAGTAACCGTAGGTATCCGTGAAGTCTTCGAGGACAATTGTCCCGTCAAAACCAAGACCTTACCACGAAAAGTTCCTTGGTGGAACTCTAAAATAAAGGAACTTAGGGAAAAGACAAGACAATCAATCTGCAAAAACGCTTTGTCAACCATATAATTTATAAACGCTGACAGTCAAGCAGCACTGTTAGCGCTGAGGTCAAACTTGGTAAACTCGAAGCTAGTTGAAAACTGCGTACACGCGAGTATAGTAGGCAATTAACTTGCCGACAAGCTTGCATGGGAGGGCTCAAAGAATGCACAATTAGGATCCCAGCCATTTTGTGGGATCTCAAAAAACCTAGTCCGGTTGACCCTTGAAACTCTTTATCACAAAGTAAATCACTTAAGATCTGGTCTGACACACCAGGCTTAAAATATTGTTAAACCTTAATCCGGGCTTTTGATCGAAAATTCACTTCAGAAGCCCTAGGATTAAGTAAAATTAAATTGCGCATTCTGGCAAGAACCCTGACTGGACACTGTTGTCTTAAAAATCACCTGAGACTAAGTAACTCAAGGATGTGTCGGCGAAAGAAACGCCTATGCACATCTTAACTGATTGCGGACCCTCAATGCGCAAACGAAACACTCATCTTGGAAACTATGTACTCCGCCCAGAAGAAGTGAAATTGGTCACAGCTAAGCAACTTCTTCTATTCATGAACGTAGGGCATATATCATGACGTAGGGCTTAGCAGTGAACTATAGCCATAGCAGCGATCACTATAGATCTGTTAGGTCGCAGTGATACTGGTCTCTCTCTCAAAACCTGCATAGCTGCTCACACATAATAATAAAATGGTAGCCCCTCCTTGGAAGAGGACTTCTACCTCCCCTTCTCCCTCCCGCGTAAGGCTTACGCTTCTCCATCCATCAATTACAACCTGTAAAAGTCCACTGCTGAACACAGGCCTAGTCCATAGATTGCCTCATAGGGAGGACTTTACTATAGTTGCAACGCTTGGCATGCTGATTGGCAACCGCAGATTTTTATCATTTTGAGTTGTTATCAGGAAGGTGCTGATGCCTGTCTTCTGTTTCAGTTCCCTTCTGCCGCCTCTTACGAGACCCACGGGCCGATATGGGATAGTCGATATTCTTACACCGCCACTACACGGTAAGTAACACGTAACATCTTACGTTGCAATGGGATATGAAGGTCAAATGTATGGTTTTATATAAAACGCAATTCTGTGATTATAAAGCGCCAGACTAAAGTGACTTGCGCGACATTGAGGTATGTTGATAGGGAATATGTTTTTCTATAAAAACAAATCAGTGTTAAATGCGCTTGGGATCGTTAAACATTTTACGACAAATGATTATGCATTGGTGAGTAATATTTTTATAACTCTAATAGCTGGTACCCGACGGATTGTTACAGCTGAAGAAATAATTGTAGATAAATAACGCCTAATAAAATACGAACAAACAAACATTATTTTACTAACCGACTTCAAAACTTCTGTACTTTTTATGTGTTACCTCAGAACTTTTTTCTAGGTGAACTGACTTTGGTGATTCGTTTTTTATTTGAATATCTGACCATTAGTTTTGGAGTTATCCTTAATAATGCGTATTTAATTGACTTTGACGAGATTAACGATGTTCTTATTTTATTTACGTATATTGAAGTCGGTTGTACAATTTTTTTTATTTTACTACTTGTTATATCAGAGATTATCAAACATTTCTTTTATCGCCCCCTATGAAAATCAATTATTTTTCAGTGCCCCCAATTCCAACCAACAAAAAAAAAAAAACACAATTTCATTACTTTAATTAATTTAGTTATGTCGTAATATAGTCGGTTCTGGTGTTTAAACTTACTTTCTAAACTAGACATTATTACCAGTTAGAGCAATTAAAACGCCACTTTATTATATTCAGAATATATTTTAATCAAATTAAAAGAAACAATATAGATAGATAATCAATTTTAGTTTTAAAAGTGATCTATTGAGATGGATAAATTTGATAATTTTTAAAAAGTTTTGTTGATATCTGGTTCGATTTTACTCAAAAACAGTCGTAAGTCGCCGCGTTCGGTAGCATGCAAACGATTTCTTTTTTTTTAGTAAGCAGCATTGTCACAGCGCTAAATCCACGTCTACATAAATATGACGATGGAAATGCTATCAAAAGTGGATGAACGATCGACCACAATCCAGAGATAACTGCGGGATTCACTTTTGTAGCCATTTTTGAATTTGATTTTTATTTCCTCGTTCATTGTCAGTTCTATAATTGCTTCTTCACTGTATAGATTTTGTAAATGTTAGCAGTAGACAAGCAAGTCGTCGTTTTTGCAGGATACTGATAAATTGGGAATATTATGGAACTCACGACACGACATTTTTTGTTTTTATTAAGTTCAAGTCATCGTCTTGAAGTTGGAGATTCATATCATTAACCAATTTATAAAGGTCTGTCAGGTATGCGATATCATTCTTTGATGTGATGAGGTTGTAGCGCAATTCTGCGTATTTGTTTTCCAAGAACTTTACGACAGTGACAAACAGATTGTAAAATCGAATCAGACAATTTCCTTTTGCTAGCCAACGCACTTCTGTGTGAAAGATCAAAAAAGCTTTTTAAATTATCTGTCATTTAAAGAGTTGATTTGGATTTTATTAACTGCTCTGATGACATACTGCAATGATTGAAACCTCAATACACCAAATATATAAATGTACAGCAAGCATCTGAAGTAGGTATTGTTTTGTAAGTAAGCTGTGAAGCCTTTTTAACACCCCATCATAACTGGAGCACCATCTGTAGCAGCTGATATAATATTCTTCAAGGGAATTCCTTTTTCATCACAAAACTTTTCCAGTGTTTTAAATTTATATGATAAAAATTTAAATTTATATTATATTTTCTCCTTTTGTGTCTGTCTCTAAATTTTTAGCAAATAATAGTTGGTGTAGTATTTTTTCATATTAAATAAACCTCACGTAAGAAAGCAGCAATGCTTCATTAGTTGTAAAAGTGGACTCATCCAACTTTATTGAAAATTGACTCTTATTATTGATTTAATCAATTCGTATTTGTAAAGAACTATTGCTCAAAGGAATTTTTCGAAAAATGTCTGCCGCCGGTTTATGGAGCACAGTAGTTATAACTTCTTTTATTGCCGGCAAAATTAACGTTTCTCCGATGGTGTGTGGTTTACCTGTTTGAGCAATTAACAAAGAGATATTGTATGAAGCTTGAAGTACGTCATCGTCTTACTTAGCAGTCATTGAAAAAAGGTTTGATACCCTTGGGTGAACATTATGCTTCTTTTCCGGGTCTCGAAAATAGGCGAAATTATTGTCCTTAACTGGATGCATTTTATTCGAATAATCTTGAATTCTTGAAGGCTTTATCGCTTCGTTTGAACATGTTTTTAACAAAAAAGGCACAACGGCAACGATGGATTTGTCAAATTTTCTATGGATCCATATTTAATATATTCTGCACTTTATTGCCGTCCCTTCTTTTTTGCTTCCGACTTAGGTATTTACCTTTGTTTTTACAAATATGTAAAGTGTTGAACTTAAATACCTGTTTAAAGATTGCGCACGAAACCACTAATAAAAATATAAAAATTATTACGATATAAGATTTAAATACAGCACACACCGACAGGAATAAGACAAACACGCACAAACTCGTTTATCTCTTTCGACCATTGATTTATATATTATAAATCAATGGTCGAAAGAGATATATGGTGTTGTGTAACTCAATGCTTTCGACGCTTAATCGTAGCGAGCAAGTTACAAGTATCGATGAACTAGCCGATTGTTACCGGATTGCACCAATAGCGTTATTTAACAAAAACTTGTTACAACTTGATTGCGTACGGCGTACGGGCTATCCTACGAAATCTTTGTTATATATATTTCTAGTTTATATACCATCATACAGGGCAGAAACATAAACTAATTATTCGATATTGAGGAGTAGGTAGGTTTTAATTTTAGTAAACTTTAAAATATAAAGTATCTAAATGAAATTACAAATCAACCATCGCCCCCCTAAACCACGCCAACACCAACCATTTATTTCTAAACCCTTTAACGCCCCCCTCTAGGTTTCCAACGCCCAATTTGAAAGACTGAGTTATATTATGGTGCGTACAGACCGGCCCAACAAACGCCCAACGATGGATATTTATCGTTCGCTAGCGTTGGCTTCCGCACGCTCGTTGGAGTTCGTTAATACATCCAAATACATTTAGTGCTCGAACGAACGTTCGTTGGCACTTGATTCCGGTACTTTTCTCTTTCATTCGCAATTTAATCATTGACGACGACGACATCATTATAATTGCTAGTTTTATATACCAAAACGAGTTAGCAAGAACAAGAAAAAATAAACGTAAGCGAAGATGGTGGACAACCACATATTTTAAGAATAGGACTGTGTATAGTGGAAGTAAAATGATTGCAGAGTTACAAGTAGAAAACGAATACTTATCATTTATTTGACAACTTTAGCAGAATGTCTACACAAGATTTTGAATGGTTGTTAAATAGTATTGGACCGGAAATATCAAAACAAAATACAAATTATCGTGAAGCGATTCCAGTAAAGGAGAGATTAGCCGTCACATTACGATTTTTGGCCACTGGGGACTCGTATAGAAGCCTTGCATACCTTTTTAAGATTTCGAAACAAACGATATCTTCAATAGTTCCAGAAGTATGTGAAGCTATCACAAAAGCCCTGAAAAATTATATCCAAGTAAGTGTTCATAAGTTATTAAAACAATTTATTCTAGTTTTCATCCATTTCCATTTATTATATAAATCAACCTAAACATTTACTCTTGTCATATCATGACATGGCTCTAAGACATGAAATTCTTATCATTATAAAAAGTTAAATGATGTTTTATTATTAGATTTATTCAGGAATGAAATTATTAATAAATGAAACTATATGATCAGTGTTTCCTTCTTGAGAAATATCCATTAAATCGTCCTGGATAAAACTGGGATCGATCCTAGGTACGTCGTTTTGTTCTTCGGGTGATATATATTTCTCTTCCGGTGATAGGTGTTCTTCATTGGGTGGTATATTTTGAAGATTATTCTTTGATCTTTTGACAATTAATGAGCGAAGCATAGTAACTTTTTTTGGTCCAGATCGAGAACCACAGCTTCCAGAACTACTGTGTTTCGAGTATTTAACCAGTTGTGGTCCTTGACCTTGGGAATTTGGCAATGCAGTACTTGAAATTGACTGATTAGTTGGCAAATTCAGTATTGGAGTTCTTGAAATCTGATACTCATAGGGAGACGTCAAAGTTGATGTCGATGAAATAGATGGCAACGTTGATGTTGGAGTTCTTGATGGCGGCTGATGAACAAGAAAAGATGTCATCGTTGGTGTTGGAGTTCTTGATGGCTGCTACTCAACGGGAAAAGGCGATGTCGGTGTTGTTGAATCTGAACGAGCTGGAGATTGACTTATGTAATATGGCTCTTGCAAATAATTAGAAGTCGGTCTAATAAATGGATAATTTTCATATTTGCCTATATCTGCGTCAAAAAGAATATTATTAATTAAATGTTCGACGACACACTTTGTACGCGAACTGTATGATCTATGTTTATTAGCAACATGCTCTCCAAATGTAGTACTTTGGTCCCTCTCACGTCGTCTTTTAAGAGCCTCCTGCATATTATTATAGGCTTCTTCTGCTCGTTGATCAAACGTATTACTTTTCCGTCGTTGTAATTTATTTGGTGATTTAAATATTTTATTTGTGATAGGTGCAGAATGATCTGAATCACGGCTCATTATATTTTCCTGGGTTTCATTGGAATCATTCTGAAATAAAGATAAAATAATCTATTAACAACATTTTCATTAAAACGAATAAAATACCTATGTGAGCATAAATTAATGTTTTTTGTTGCAGATGCCTTCAAACAGCGAAGATTGGAAAAAAAATGCACATATGTTTGACCTAAAGTGGAATTTCCCTCATTGTATCGGGGCACTCGATGGCAAACATTGCGTGTTACGAAATCCCATACATGGAGGCAGTGACTACTACAATTACAAGTCTGATTTCAGTATTGTATTAATGGGAATAGTAGATGCAAACTACTGTTTTATATATGTGAATGTTGGAACCCAAGGGAGGATTTCAGATGGTGGTGTTTTTAGAAACACAAAATTTTACGAGAAACTGCAAGGAAATGAATTAGGATTGCCACCAGATGTCGCTCTTCCGTATCGTCAGATGGAAATGCCTTTTGTCTTAGTGGCCGACGATGCATTCCCTATGCAAAAGCATATTATGAAACCTTATTCAGGATCAGTAAAAAGACTATTTAACTACAAATTAAATAGAGCTCGCAGAGTTGTGGAAAACGCCTTTGGAATTCTATCATCCGTATTCAGAGTTCTACGAAAACCAATGCTTCTTGAACCAGAACGAGCTATAACAGTAATAATGACCTGTGTATATTTACACAATCTTTTAAGAAAAAGCAAGCTATCCAGATGTATTTATACACCCAGGGGAACTTTTGATCATGATGATCGTGGGACTGTGACGTTGGGTTCTTGGCGAAGAATAAATGAAGAAGACCCACTTGCTTCATATTTTCCATTACTGAACGTTCCACGAAGATCTGCTTTAAGTACTGAGCAAATATGCAATGAATTTGCGGAATATTTTTCCACCGTAGGCCAAGTACCTTAGCAAAATAGTTATGCATAAAACTGAAGGTATTTTTTTTGTCTATTCTTACCAATGTATCTTGTGTCGGACGCGGACTAAATTTGTCTAGCAAAAATTTCATTTTTTGAAACGCAAACCATGTTGAACAGTAAATTTCGTCGAAACCGGTACCTGAAATAAAATAAAATATTATGTTAAAATATTTGTTTTAGCTTTATTTCAATATTCATATGTTTTCAGAAATGAAACTATGTATACACACAGTAATTTGTCACTAATTTGTCCGTATTTATTTATTTATTGACAACCTTCGTGGCTCCGAGTCACCACCCGAGCGGGTTGAGTATTTTGAGTTTACACATTGTGTAGGTGATTATATAGTTATCATAGATATAGGATTGCAATGTAAATGTCTCCCATACTTGTCTGGGAGTGAAAGAAAAACATATAATTAGCCAGATGCTTCTCTTCCCGTGCAGATCGTAAAAATAATAAATAAATAAATATATACGGACAAATAACACAGATTGAGCTAGCCCCAAACTATGAGCGATCCTAAAACTAAGTTCGAGGCTTGTACTATGGGATACTAACTCAACAATACTATATTTTATATCAAATACATGTATAGATAAACATCCAAGAAAAAATCGATCAAGGGATAAGGCGCCGTGTAACTGGTGCCACTATTTCTATCTTGGGGTTGGTTATGGTTTCCTTTTAGTTTACGGAGGTCAGATGGGAGTCAGAAGAAGAAGAGGTATAGGTATTGCAAGCTTTAATAGGTACTTACCTGATTTTTTTGTTTCCTCACCGCCGCTCTCGTCGAAATAAAGTCAACAATGACTCCATTTTCTTTTTGATGATGGAGACATCGCAATTAAGAATGTTAGCAATTTCTAGGCAGCAGTCACTTCTCTTCGCTTTCAATTTATATTCATTATTTGTTGTATCCCAAAGACACGGCTTCTCTTTATACAAATCTGTGGCCTTGAAAGGAAAAGGGGAGATCTCCCGCCGGGCAAGGCGTTATGCCCGGGGAGCGGCCAACGCTCCGTGATATAGTTCGGAGATTTTCTATATATATACTGTTTATGATTCGGAATGTTGATAGCGTGATTTAGGCTTCAGTATATTTACGCCTGTGGCGCGACGACAGCGCCGCCACATCACCTCCCTGCTCAGATCAGAGGTCTATAATAAAAACATATCGTCGTTACTCCATTCTTTGTTTTTCTCCATGATCTAAATGGCGGGAAATATCCAAGTAATTATCAAATTGAACGTCAACACGCTACGCTCTCTTGCTTCAACTGAGCGTTCGTTCGTTGGCCTTCGGCGACTGTCCAAACAGAGTTCGATCAAATAGCTCGGTTTCTTTGATGTTACCGCCACGCTTCGGATCGCCGGCACACGCCAACGAGCGATCGTTGGCATTCGATAAGCCGTCCAGATTGCAGCAACGAAGGTCAACGAAACCCGTTCGTTGGCGTTCGTTTGGCCGGTCTGTACGCAGCTTTATACATATGAGCTAGTAGGTACCCGGCGCGTTGCTGCCACAGAATTAGGTAATTGTGGAAATATCGTTTTAAATTTGGAATGAGTAAATTTTTTTAAATTAGGAATAATAATACTCGTACATTCATTAAAGTTGAATGATGTATGACTTTTAATACATTAGGGTACGATACTCCCCCCCCCCCCGAACGGGTTCCCGCCTTGTCGTGGCGGGGGGGCTTAGTAGCCGTGGCTTGGTTCCCACGGTGAACAAAGAGGAACCCACATGGCTGGCCCGAGGTGAAGGTCCGGCCTGAGGTGGCCACTCCGAGTGGGCTTGGAGAGCCCACTTCGGATGTGTGCTGGTGGACTGCAGCGAGTGGGGACTCCGCACCCTCTACCGCTGCAGCCGAGGTGGAGTCGCGGAGGAAGAGGAGTGTTGGTATGGCGATGTGCCACTCGCCCTATCCTCCGCGACTCAAACGGGGCCGCACCGTTGATGCGGTGGTGATGGGGTTGCGGAGGGAGAGGATTGTCGGTATTGCGAGGCGCCGCTCTCCCTATCCTCCGCAGCCGAATCTTGGTTGGCGGCGGAGCCATAGACCAGATCCGCCGCTGGGGTCGGGAAGGCTAGTACTTCAAGTGCTCGTTTTTCCTGGCCCCATGGCCTTCGCGCATCGGACGCGGGGGCGTCTGTTGCGCAGATGCAATTGGAGGCCGTGGAGGAAGGCGTGCCATGTGTTCTGGTGCGCCTTACTTGGGAAGGAGAACGGGGAGGAATATTCCTCTCCCGAGGAGGTGCTGCCATGGGGCGGCAGTCGCTGGTAGGGCCGCGGAAGTGTGCGAAAGCGTTCCCGTAGCCCTGCCAATATGCGACGAAGGTGGAACACCATGGGGTTTTAGTCGGTGCGAGTCCGACATAACCCGTCCTTGCCCCCGCGAGGTGGGTATGCGTAGGCATTTCCCCATGTAAAAAAAAAAGGGTACGATACGCGCGCCATCTACTACAAGTTTTATGTAATATACCTATGCATACACAGATTACCCTTCGCGCAGGCGGCGCAGGTGCAAGCAATACGTTGAGTTTAGCACAATAATATGGATGGTATGGCAGGCAGCATAACAATCAACCATTATTTTTTATAGGTATATTAAATTGAATATTGGCGGGTCATAGGTTATACATTTATAATAGTTATTATAAAAATTGGTACCTAACCTAATAGTTCATGGTTATTGTTGCAGTAGGTAACTTTACAGAATGAATCGAATCACGTAATCAAAGTTTACCTAAAATCAAAATCAAACTCGCCTAATGTCGCCTCTACACGTTGGCTAACACAGTGGCGAATGGAGTGGCGAATATATTGGCCGGGAGTTGGCCGTCCACACGTTGGAAGGTCGTTCAGTTTACTTCGGTTCGGGCCAATGTGCGGACGAATTTATAATCACCGTGGTGCAGTGGCTCAGCAATGAGTGGCTGCGCCGGGCGCCGCGGGTTTGATCCCGCACGGAGCAAGTATTGTATGTCCTAAAAATAATTGTTTCGGGTCTGGATGTATGTCCTTGTGCAATTTGTGTTTGTAAACTGCCTGCGCGATACTGGAGAAAATCCTAGTGTGGGGTTAACGTTTTTATAAAAGAATTATAAAATAATAGTGGATATTAATGGGGTTGTAAATAGATATACGATATACGATTAGCTTTATTTATTCTTTACATGCATCATAAACTGGAATAAATACCATTAATAAGAACTTAACTTATTTTAAAGTTAAAGGAGTTATAATCGATTAGTCTATATTTTAAAATTGGGTTTTGATTTTAAAGTTTAGCAAAATATGTACTTGCATTTCTATCAGACATTTGATGTATTAAAACACCTTATAATTTATTTGGTAATTTAATTATTTTTTGAGAAAGACAAAAACAATAGCAATAAATATAATTAACACTGACTTAATAATAGGTACTAATTATAACTTAGAACATAAATGAAAAACTCATGACGAGCAAAGTGGCTCAGGACCATGCTTTGCGGCAGTCTGTGGAGGAAGATGTTCAGTAGTGGACTTGCGAAGAGCTGTAATGATGATGATGATTCAAAAACTTGCACGGTTAAATTATAAGAAATCGACGCTTTTTATATAGGATAGGGTGACAAACGAGCACACAGTTCACCTGATGGTAA